TTTTTTTTTTTTTTTTTTTTACAAATACAATATCTTCTTGAATGACTTACGATATTATGTGCTGTGCGCCTTTGTCAGACTACTCCTTTGGGTTTTTTTTTAAACATTTGCGCACTATATAGGATTTATCCTGCATCGTACAGAGGCCTTAGTACGAGTTTCATGTATTGTATGTTGTGTATTGTGACATCGCTTCTCGGCCTTTTGGTTAAGATCAAAGTGTGTAGTGTGTATTGTGACGTGTGAATTGTGTATTGTGTGAAGATCAAAGTGTGTATTGTCAAATAGCATACTTATTTCTTAAAAATTTGCTGGAAAAATACTAAAATTATGTTGGTCATAAAATCAATCAACGAAATTGCAACTATTTTTTAATATTTTATTTTATTGAACATTCGAAATAATTTATTTTTGATGAAGGCAAGTACCCAATCACACAGTGGCGTAGGTCTGGGCCCCGTATAAAACTGTTTAGGGGCCCCAACGAATGTTTTAGTTTGGGGGCCCTCCAAACAATTGGCTAATTTATAATAAACGTTTTTCTCGTAAAATGCACAGGTACACAAATTTATAAAAAATCTGTTACTGGCCGCCATTTTTGTAATATTAAAATTTTCAAAAAGTTTCTGCACTACCTGAAATCTTTTCGGGCAACCCCCATATTTACCCTGACCCTCTGGGATGTCAGAGTAAGGCCGTGCGGATATCAAACTCGCTGCACATTGCGCCACAGCCGGTTGCACAGCCACCGTACCAACCATGCAGTCTTTTAGTTTTCAGTCAATTAGAAGGCATGCTATCACAATATATTTGTTCAGTAAAAAACTAACGACAACGAAAAACCTTGAAAATAAAGACATGAAAAACTATTAAGACGATAGAGAACATCTTCTATCTGGTCCATTAGATTTTACTATTGTTGGTAATAAAAGTTTTAGTACCGTTCAGAACATAACATTTTTATGGCTAGGAAACGAGTAGATGGATTATCTGATGTTAAGCAATCGGCGCCGGCCATGGACACCCGGAACACTAGAGAGAGAAGTTAGACTTTTTTTTACCGTGGAAAATCATCGAATGGCTGCGCCCGCCTGGGTGAGACGGGAGAGTGTCAGACTCTTACTGACTAAAAACCACCCCGTTCCTTCTCCTGCACGTCGAGCCGGAGCCTCAGTAACTCGTTAGGTTCTTCGCGACGAGAGAAGTTAGACTTAGAAGTATGATCCCAGCTCTTAAAAAGTGGGAGATTGGGTCACCAGGCGAAATAAATGGCTATGGTTGTTGTACTGTGAGGCCCCGGAGGACTTAACGGGTTGCTGGGGCTCCAGCTCGGAGGGCAGGAGTAGGAACGGGGTGGTTAAAGTCAGTAAGAGTCTGACACTCCCTTTCCCCTCACCCGGAAGAAGTCACCCAGTTGAAGAAGTCATTGATTGATTTTCCCCCTTTTAAAAAAGTATACTGTGAGGCCGTGGTGGAACCACTCCGGTCGAGCCGGCCCTGTAGTGTGTAAGCATGAAAAGTTTAAGGAAAAATTGAAATGAAAACATACCTATTAGAATACAGATATTATTTTATTATCTACTAGCTATTTCCGCGCGGTTTCACACGCTCGGCTCAGCTCCTATTGGTCGTAGCGTGATGTTTTATAGCCTATAGCCATCCTCGATAAATGCGCTATCCAACACAAAAAGAATTATTCAAATCAGACTTGTAGTTACGGAGATTAGCGCGTTCAAACAAACAAACAAAAAAACAAACTCTTCCGCTTTATATAATAGTATAAGATAATTCACATAGGCTACTTTTTATCCTTTTGTGACGCGAGCGAAGCCGCGGGTAAAAGCTAGTAATAATATTATAAATGGGAAAGTGACTTTGTTTGTTTGTTCCGCTTTCACGTCGTAACTACTGAACCGATTGCTTTGAATTTTTGCAAACGTAAAGTTAGAGGTCTGAATTAAATAATAGGGTACTTTTTATCCCAGAAAAATTTTATATTCTCGAGGGAAAACGAAATTATTGGTATAGATGGCGCTGTGTGTATTGGTATATGTCACATAGGCTACTTTTTATCCTTTTGTGACACGAGCGAAGCCGCGGGTAAAAGTTAGTGATTAATACAATATCCAGCTGGCAGCTAGATCATTAAAGCAAATACCAATAAAATGTTTGTTTATGTGAATGAGATAATTGTAAAAAGCAATAAAAAACAAGAATTATGTGGAGGAATTCATTAATTACATGCATGCATGTGTAAGATTTTCCTTGATCTTTTTTCCCTATAGCTGTAGGAATCCATTCTGTACTTTGGTATGTATGGCCGCTAGGACGACTTCCGAATGCCGAGTAATGCTAGCTACACACCATACGATTTTACTGAGTCGCGGAGAACCTAACGGGTAACCGGGGCTCCGGCTCGACGTGCAGGAGAAGGAACGGGGTGGTTTTTAGTCAGTAAGAGTCTGACACTCCCTGCCGCCTCACCCAGGCGGGAGAAGTCATTAGATGATTTTCCCCGCTTAAAAAAAAATACGATTTTACTGTGCAGTTTAACGGTCATCATACACTTAACATATGGGCGTTTCTCTGTAAACTGGGCAACTCATGCAATGAAACTGTCTCAGCTACTTTTTTGCTCATAATATAATAAACTTTCTTTAGGAAGTAAGTATTTGCCTATATATTAATATACAGAAGATGAACCACAAATATTCCCATTACTTTAGGAAATATTAAGTATTTTCTGAAACAAATAAACAGGGGACTGTTGCCAAAGCCAGGGGACTGTGAACTTAAATAAAATATACAATTTTAGTAGTGAAATTAAACGTTTTATTAGTATCATAAACTTTGGAGCTTAAGAATTAAGTAACTGAGAAATAAAGAATCAACTATCTTTCTGTAACATTGTACTTAGCACTGTAATCTTAATATTTACTTTATTAAATCACATATTTGAAAATACTTTCAGTACTTTGAATTAAACTTACACTACAGAATCAGTCTCAAAAATATTTAGTAATTTCTAAAATATAGCAAAATAATAAAAATTGTACTTAAAGTCTTATTTTTTCTCGAAAACATCTACAGGTAAATCAAACTTATAAAATATTCTATTGCCTTTTAAAACTATGTTTGGATTAGACAGCTTTTGTACCACTTGGTCCATTGTAATGTCTGACACATCATCAGCATCGTATCTAAATAATTGGCCTTTATTATCACAGAGCTTTAGGAATGTGACCCGGATTTCGCCATCTTCTTCATCAATCTTGTCAATTATGCTCACATATCTATATTCCATATTTGTTTTGCTAAGCAATTTCACAACAATATAATCTCCAGTTTTGAATGGTTGTACTACAGCAGAACTAGGTCCAGCCTCATTGTCAGATTCTGAATCAGTGTACACATCTTCTACATTAAGTTTTGGCTTGTCTTCATAAATTATTTTTCCGATATTAAAGTGCACACAATAATCATTGTCGCAAAAACAGCTTAAAGTTTTCATCACTATTTCAGTAGAATTTGATTTTATTCCTGTTGGATTAAAGAATTTTCCAGTGACTTGATGGACTTTGAGGGTGCCAACGAAAGTTTTCATTTTGGTTACTTCTCGATCGATTTCAGTGCTCATTTCTTCAATTGCTTCATCTGGTATAATGCTCAAACTAATTGCAGGACATCTCTTTTCAATGGCTTCTACAAATTTTTCCAGATTCTCGACATCACCTCCAGTAGCGACCAGGGCATCTGCAGTCCTCTTGCAGGTAGCTCCAACGCCGTCTGGAGCGCCTTTACCATGGCCACTTTCCGTATAGTTCCAAGTAAAATTTTGCACATATGGAAATCTCTTTGATATTTTCGTCGCCATAATGTAAAACATGGTTTTATTTCTGTACTGAGTAACTGGACCATCACTCAAAAAATGCAGGTGTTTAATTTGAGGTGGCAAAGCATTAAAAATTGGATTAAGGTGAGCCCAAATAGCAGCTGGAGAATGAGAAACATTCGTAGAAATTGTGCAGTAAGATTTTGTTGTGTCTTTCAAGTATACTACAACCGTGTGCAAACTAATTTGTGTGCGTGAACCGCCAAAGTGAAAAGCTTGAATTTCTTGAGAATATTTAGTTATATAATTCTCAGAAAAATCCATGTGAATGAGAGCATCTTCTTCAGTCAGCATACTTTTAAGTTTTTTTATTGCACTGAACTGATGTACAATATTTCTTTCGTGACGAAGAAATGTCTCTAGCTCATCTTGCAATTCTATAATGAGATCGCGCGGTTTCACATCGAAGGATTTCTTAACGTATTTGGTTACTCGACGAGTCTTTTTGGATTTTGGGTCTATGAAGTCGGCTTTTTCAGATATCCATTTCTTATAATTGATACGTCTCATGTTATTAAATTCTTTATAAAAAGGATTATTATTAAAACACTTTTGACAGTCTCTCGACAAACATTTCTCATTATAGCGGTCACAACATAGTTCCTGAAGCAATTTCTGATAGCTGTTATAATTTAAAATTTTTGCATTGAATAAAGCAGATACTTTTAAGTCTATGTTTGCGTGGTTTATACACAAACAAGTATCACGTTTATCAACTTTGGGCATGACAATCCAAAAAGGTCGCAGTTTGCAAAAAGTTTGATAACTTAGTGTAAAATTTCTCTTCTCTAGTTTGAATTTTTCGTACAACCCTAGTAATGAGTCAAGCATGTATCGCTTTTGTTTTCGTTCTGATTTTCTTGTTATAAATTCCTTCTTTCCAGCGCCTAGCCTACTATTAGAATCATCTTCATAGAAATTAACAACTGCTCTTACACATTTATCGGAAATTTTCTTTCTTCTTTCCAGTCGATGACCTATTTTTGCCTTTTTTATTCTTTTGTAGCTTATCACACCTGTGTTTTTCATTCGCCATAACTTATATTTATCAACTATCTTTCCAGTAACCATTTTTGTTAAAAGTCTTTTTTCTTTTACGGTCTTCATCTCTGAAAAATTATCTTCTATTTGTTGTTTTAGTACTTCACCGAAAAGAGCTTTTTTTACAAGATCTTTTCTTGATTCTGGATTGTCTGCCATTTTTTGTAATTTTGTATTTGGTGTATCTGTAGGCTTTGGATTTGTACTCTTTTTTAATCGCGATAAACGTTTTTTGTACTTTAATACTTTCCTCTTCAGTTCTTTAATTTCTTCATCTTTTTTCTTTTTAATTTTATATCTAAGCATTTTTTCTTTATTTTTATTATTTCTTTCAGCAACTTCCATTTGACATGAAGCAGATACGTCAGAATCTGGAGTATTTTCTTTAATAAATGAGTTAGTAATGTTTGCTAATACTTTTTTCTTACTGCGATACTTGGTGCAGTGCTGTTTCCATTTCTTTTTAGCGTCTCGGTGTTCTCGTGGAGTCATATTCTCAACAAGCTTTCTAGTTCCCTTTTCTTTTTTCTTAAGGTACTTAAGACGTTCTTTTTCTCTAAGTTCTTCCCTTTTCTGAGGATCGTTTTTAATCTTCGCATATCGCTTTCGCTCTGCTTCCCTTTTTTTTTGTAGAATCTCTTCTTTAGTGGCTTTTTTCTTCTTTGGCGCCATTTCCTAATCTAAAACAATAACAAGTATATTTTACAGGCTGCGCAAGTATTACGTAGGTATTTTTTTGTAATTATTAATAAGTCTGTAGACTTAAGTAATAGGTTTGGAATATTTTTTAAATAAACTTTACTTACACTGTATTCAACATAGAATGACTTATAAATATCAAACATTTTGTAAAAAAATATGCAAAGCAAAGACCCCCCCCCCCTTCCTATAATGCTTACGTAATACTTGAATTGCCTCTTAGACAGTCCCCTGGGTGCAAAAACAGTCCCCTGTCTTGTAGAGAGACAGGGGACTGTTGCCAGGGGACTGTTTAATTTGATTTCATTGAAGAGTAGTACAAAATGTAATTGAACTATGCTATTTTACTGCACATAGGAAATATGCATTTATTGTACCAATTTAAATATTTGAAAGAATCATTAAAATACATAAATAGAAATTTAAAAAATCCTTACCAGTGGACTGTTGGCTTTGAGGTTATAACGCGGGTTCCACGGAAGGACGCTCGCACACCACTAAATAAGATGGCGTCTGAGCCATCATGGCGGCAACCGCGCAAACTTCAGACTTGTTGCGTTTCGTTATACGCAGAAAACGCGTTGTTTAACCTTTAGGCTACGTGACACCTAATTTAAAATATAGACAGGGGGACTGTTCCCAAAATGCGAAGACAAAGTTTCATTGTTATTTTTTTAATTGTAAAATAATATTTATGCAAAATAAATGGGTCTCATGAACAAACAAACAATATTGATTTAATAATATAATAATTACATCAATTCCAATAGATACTGTCCCGAATAATTTAGTTTGAAGTAACTACACAGCTTTGGTGACATGCCAGGGGACTGGTTTAGAAGAACTATAAAAACGTTTTTAATATAATAAAGTTTATTTTAATGGATTTTTAATGTTGTGCAGCGGTAGATTAGGGTATTGATTTTTGAAATTACTTACGAAATATTTACGATATTTATTTTTTTAAACAAAATCAGCCTGGGACAATGAGTTGCCCAGTTTACAGAGAAACGCCCATATAACAAGCACGGCTCCGGTTTAATACTAATAAGTACTATCTACGGGAAGTACTATCTTCGGCACGAATGGGCCGGCTCGACGGAGTGATTGCACGGCCTCACGAAAACCGACGTGAAACAACGCTTGCGTTGTGTTTCGTCGTGTGGCCCAATCACCCCCTCCCCAGTCTCCCCAGTCCCTTAACCCACAGTACTCAAATTCTCAAGTCCTAGAAGTCCAGTAACGCACGGTAACGCATTTGTAACGCCTCTGGTGTTTCAGGTGTCCATGGGCGGTGCCCATTGCTTACCATCAGGTGATCCGTCTGCTCGTTTATCGGCTTACCCCATAAAAATAAGTACAACATAAATAGCAGTTTCGCACTACGTCCAATTCGAATTATTTCTATAGTAATGAATTCACATTCGGATGATCCGATTTCCATCATCTGATTAAGGTACACTTAGAAATAGCCATAGATAAAGTTTGTGGAATATTTTGACGGGTTCCGATCAAACTTGGATCGGACATAATGCGAAACTGCTATTTACGCTTTGCCGGACACCTAAAACCCCTTGCTTGGTAGTCGCACTTGCAACCACTGCGATCAATGAGGCAGTCTTTGACATCAAAGAAAAGCCCCAATTTTGAAAGAACTAACTATAGTATAGTAAGTAAAACTCCATAGGTATCGCGAAACGTAAGTTTCACAGGAGTTTCCGAAGTAACAATGAACTCTTAAAGCCTTACAAATGTTCGACTTACCGCCATTGTTTCATGTTTTTCTATGGAAAAAAGGCGTTCAAAATTGTACATTTTTTGACGGTTTTACTCAAAACATTTACTTTTAATGATACCCCAATCAGTTATTAGTGTGTGAGAGAAAAGGCACTTTTGAAGGCCTATAAAATACCTATATTATTGTAAAAATGAAACCCGTTTCTCGTTGTCACGCCATAACTTGAGAATGGTTAGACTGATTTGGCTGATTTTTTTTTTGTTTGTTATTGTCAGGAGACGGTTCTTCTAACAGAAAAAATCCTGAAAATCCTACGGGAACGGGAGAAAGCGGGATTGCGCGCACGAAGTCGCGGGCAGAAGCTAGTAAGACTTAATAGTCATATAAGTGCCGGCTGTCCGTTGGTCCTTTTTGATTTTTTGAAGGCTATTGCACTCGTTCCAAAGTGTAGATCCCTTACCAATTAGACACAGTTACATTCGGAAATCGGAAGTAGGCAGGTAGGCAGATATGGCTGGACAAATTGGCATCGGTGCTATTCGTCCTCATTATCATCAAAAGATCGGGACACTGCCCTTCTACATAGATTATGAACCTCCCCTATCCAAGAACATTAGCCATAATCTCTACAATAATCAATATATTAATTTCCTAAATCTTATTTTAATGTCCGTCTCGCACAATAATTTAAAACTTTAGACACGTATTTTTTCTTTTCTCACAAAATTAAATACTTTCGACGATATATTATTTTGAAATATCGTGTGACGTCACTGTGTGCTACATTTTGTAGCACGTTATGACGTAACGACCTCCCACTCCTAAACTTAGCGCCATTTTATTTAAGTATTACAACAATAAAAAAAAATACATGACCAATATTTTTTTCATTAAATATCTATATGACGAACTAATTAGATTTTTTAATTCTGATAGCCTGGAAACTACCCAATTGTATCAGAGAGCGGTCTCTATCGGACTTGTAGTCTCTTCAGCTCTTACGGCACCTTCGAAAAGAGTAATAGTGATGACAAATATAACACAAATACTTACCTAACCATTATACCTATTTATTACGCAAAAAATAACCTTTATTCAGTGCCACCGGGGTCTTTGTTCGCTATCCACATTTCTAGGCCATTTGCGTAGTTCAAAGGCCAGGGGGCTGTTGTGGGGTTGGGTGACACCTCCCACACTACTATAACTGGTATAAAAACTATGTTCATGTAGTAAGTCACCGGTTACTGGCTGCCAAAATTATTTAGGACTGTCGCCAAGATATTTCGTCTGGCTTACAAATCTTAGAATGTTGTTCGTTTAGTCTGAGAATGAGTTTTCTGAATCACTTTTTTTTAAGGGGGGAAAATCATCGAGTGACTGCTCCCGCCTGGGTGAGGCGGGAGGGAGTGTCAGACTCTTACTGACTAAAGACCACCCCGTTCCTTCTCCTGCACGTCGAGCCGGAGCACCGGTTACCCGTTAAGTTCTCCGCGACTTTCTGAATCACTACGGTACTGATTTTATGGGCGTTGCAAATGATAGTTTGTTATCATTATCTCCGCGCTATGTGCCCTGCCCACTGCCACTTCAACTTGCTAATCCGCTGGGCTATGTCGACGACCTTTGTTCATTTGCATTGTTTCGGCCTATCTGGAAGTCATTAGTGGAGGCTGTGATTAGCAATGGTCGTCCTATGGCTGATATGATGATGATGAGGACAATAGAATATCTTTATTATTCTATTGTCCACGATTAGGCAAAAACACTCCTTGAGTAAAAAGTTACACAAGGAGTTTTTTAGGGGGAAAGTCATCGAATGACTTCTCCCGCCTGGGTGAGGCAAGAGGTAGTGTCAGACTCTTACTGACTAAAAACCACCCCGTTCCTTCTCCTGCACTTCGAGCCGGAGCCCCGGTAACCCGTTAGGTTCTCCGCGACGCGCAACGGATTTAGATGCGGCTTTTAAAATAAATAAAGTCACTCAAGAGTTATTTTTATAAGTAACTACTTACCTGACATGGCCAACTTCGTACCGCCTAAAAATTTTTTTCACCTTAAGACCTTCCCTAGACTTCCACGAACCTATCAAGACCAAAATTAGCTAAATCAGTTCAGCCGTTTTCGAGTTTTAGCGAGACTAACGAACAGTAATTCATTTTTATATAATAAATTATGCATCATACATGCTTAACCGAAGCCGTGGCTGGTCACTAGTTTGTTGTAACTAATGCTAGTTTATAAATCACCACGTCTGAATCCCATCCACCGTCACACCAGTACCTACCCAGTTAAATATAAGTCCCTTCGCTAATTTATCATAAACAGTTATTAATACTTCTATGGCTCCCCTCCCCTCAATGGCATGGCTCCAAAACCTGCATCTCCAGTCAGCTGACACGTGCGTGCTCGTATTTTCGTAGACTGCACATGTCGTGTTTAGAAAATACTGAAATAGATATTTTAATGACCCTGTTTCAGCGCCATTATGTAACATCTGTTGTTTACTCGGAAATTGGAGTTAGGCTAATAAGATCATACGGTTTTCTAAGGTCGTATCGTATCTCTGTTTACTTAATTTCAAGGCCACAATAGGGATTAGTCCAGTTAAGTAGTCAACAGCTTGAAATAAAAGTGTCCACGTCCGAAAACAACAAGTTAATAGATTTTTTTAAGAATAATCATCTTATGACTTGTAGCGCCTTGGTGAGGCGGGCGGAGTGTCAGACTCTTACCGACGAGGAAAATCATCCAATGAGTTCTCCCGCCCGGGTGAGGCGAGAGAGAGTGTCAGACTCTTACTTACTAAAAACCATCCCGTTCCTACTCCTGCACTTCGAGCCGGACCCCGGCAACCCGTTAAGTCTTCCGCGGCTCCGTATCGGCATCAGCACTATTGGGTCTCATCTGTGGTGGTCTGAACTGATGGCTCCTTGAGGCGCGCGCGGAACGCGACGCGCCGTACGCTCGGGCCTGGTTCTGGTCGGGCGGCGAGTCACCCGTGCTCGCCGTTCGCAGGCCCGTGCTTACGGTGGCCGGAGATGTGCCAACTCGCCATGTGGATTGAAGATCACAGTATAAAAGGATAAGGTTTAGCGGGGAGTGCTGCTGCACGGGCTTTGTCAAAAATGTGCAGTCCCTTATACTTGGTTGTATTTTAGATTGTGTCACCAACCATTCTCTCTTCAGCTGCTGTCACTACACGACTTTCAGTTATTGGACTAGTTATACCCTACTGGTAAGCTACTTATAATTGCTGAACAAAATGCTAGTGACCAGTGACCAGTAAGTCAATAATTATCCCCGATGTTACTATCAGCAAAATTGTGTGACAATTGTTCGACGTTTTTGTAAATGTAATCAAAGAAACTAGGTACTCTAAAGTAAAAATTAATGCTTAAAAATTACGAGTAATTCCGAAATTAAAAAAAAAATTAAACATACTTCTTTTTCTTGTAAATAGCA